GCCTCCCCTCTACCAGAGCCACTCTTAATCACAGAAAGGCATTTCTAAATGCCAGTCACACCTAATGATGATCTTTGATAACATTTGCAATAAAAAAATAAATAAAATCTTCCTGTGTTCAGACAGGTTCATTTAAATTTTTTTTTTCAGTTGTAGATGGATACCATAGCTTTATTTATTTATTTTTATGTGGTGTTGAGGACCGAACCTAGTACCTACACATACTAGGCAAGCACTCTACCACTGAGCTAAAGTCCCAGCTCCAGAAAGGTTCATTTTTAAAGAAAAGTTTTTTTAATTGAAAATTACTGATTTTTAAGATAGCTGGAGAGCCGGGGAAACAGGTATACTTGTTCTTATTTGTTTAGCAAATATTTCCTCCGGGTCTCTCTTGCTGCAGCTTGACCTTCTTTATCTGTTCTTACTGTGAAAGCACATCAAAATGCTTTTTTTTTCCCCAGGAAACCCTATTGGCTGGAAATTTATAATTTCAGCATGAATACATGCAATAAAATTCAGTATTTGCACTAATCTGATTCACATTTAAATAATATAGTCAGACAAACGAAAAACACTTTAAACATACTGTAACTACCATTGACTTAACCAAGATTTGATGTATTGAATTGATTTATTGCTTTGCAAATATAAGGAAATCCTTCATTAGTCCTCCCCATTAGAGATACCACTTTAAAAAAATAGATTTTAGAATTTTGAAAAGAAAGCTAAATAATCCTAAAGGACAGCACTGAATTTAAAGAGCCGACACCCACATCCCACATTCACTGTAGAGAAACCCATCGTGAGAAGGGCCCAGTTTCTTCACAAATCCTAGAGCAGCCACCGAACAGTTCTTTTTCAACCTCAAAACCTTGGTCATTCAGATTATAATAATAAAACAAAACAATGTGAATCATGCAGGGGAAAAAAAAACATGGTTTCTGACTATTTAGTACATTGCTTTCATAGTAAACTTCCAGTGAAATAAGGCTGAATAATTAATTTGGGGGAAATGCTTTCTGCCCTCTTATCATGAGAGCAAGGTACCATGATAAATAACGCGGTATTGTCAATCAATTCAGAAGCAGATTTCATAATGTAGCCATCTATACCAAACTCATCATATGTATTTCTCATTGTATAGAATGGGACTTCAAATACATATGAACCTGAGATACTGCAAGATGCTCAAGTGCTTCTGAAAGATTAAATTATATTTGGAGGATTTATGTTCTCGAACGTGACCTTTCTTTACCATGTCAGAAGAAAAAGTGGGGTGCTGGGTATAGTGTGCACACCTGTAATCCCAGCCACTCAGGAGGCTGAGGCAGGAGGATCAAAAGTTGAAGATCAGCCTGGGCTAGTTAGCAAGACTATCTCAGAGTAAAATAGGTTTCAAAGACAGGGATGGGGATGTAGCTCAGTGATTGAGGGTGTGCTTGACAAGTATGAGGTCCTAGGTTCAACCCCATTACCACAAAAAAAGAAACTAAGGAAGGGGAAAAAGGAAGGACAGAGATAAAGAGAGGGAGGGAGACAGAGGGATGGATGGAGGGAAGAAGAAAAAGTGGGGAAATGACGACTTTAATAAAGTCAGTGGGAAAATGCTTTTTTTAACAGGAAAGAGTTTAATTTCAGATACTTCTAAAGCCAGAGTACTCTTGAAGAATAGAAAATTAATCAACAGATTCAGAATTTTAGCAAAATATAATGGGTTCAGCCTCAGAACAGACTATTTTGTACTTAAAGGAGAGCGTTATCTTTAGTTACTTAGTAAATTATTGGGATTTAAAGAGGGAAAAGCTAAATTACAATGTTAATCTCCTTTTAGGGACATAATCAGCTTAAGCAGAATTGCCTCATCTTAAGCAGGAGAGAGATTTTTAGAAAAATTATAGCTATCAGTTGTGTTTAGAGACAGGATGCAATTTTTCAAAATCAAGCTCCTCAAAATCCACATTCCAGAGAAGCAGCCTGGGCTTAAAGGGTTAAAAACATTGACTTTACATTATCACCAAAACCTCCCAGTACATGCAGTGAGGAAATTTATTCATCACAGTTTTACGTGCCAGTAAACTTTGTTTTACACAGTTCACTTTAGGTTCACCTCTGAGCCCTTGTTTTAACTAATGGAAAAAAAAAATCTGGGGTGTGTGGTGTAGAGAATGGAAAGAAAAATCAAACAGACATTTCTAGGTGAACTCAACCAAACCAGCTGTTTTGTGGTCCCTTCAGGCTTAAAGCGTGGCTACCTTCCCACTGTCAGCCCTCCTCCTATCGTTACCCTCAGCAGTTGAAGCTGAATTTGGGGGGTCTTAGAGGCACATCCTGCAGAGGAAATGGGAACTGGATCATGAATTGGTTCCATTTCTCAGTCTGGAAGCACCTCTGTCCTGTCTCTTGTCCAGGACACACACAGATGTGCTGGTTGGTGACTGGGCCATCTCTGGCCCATACCCTCCTCCCTTGCTGCTCAGCTCACTTGATGTGCAGCCGTGTCCTCTCCATGCCCACCATTCCTATGTGCAGCCTCCTTCTTGACCAAGTGACCTCTTTACAGCTCTTGTGCAAGCCCATTCTCCATTGACCTGTACACCTTGTCCATTTAAGCCACAGAAACCCTCAGGGGCTATCCTTTGCCACACTTGCACCACAGGAGCATTCTCCAGACCCACAAGCCATGTCACCATCCCTACCCTGTTGCCCCCACTTCCGAATGATAGCAGACTTTGCTTCACCTCCTATAGCCACTGCTATGGTTCAAGAAGCAGCAGCACAGTTCTCTTGAGTCTGCACTACCATCCTCAAACGGGGGTTCAGCAGCAGCAGGTGTGGTCTGGGGACATGCCAGAGTTCAGGTGGCAACCCCCACCAATGATGTTACAGCTCTTGTTCTCTCCCCAAACTCTGTCTTCCTTCTCCCAACCTAGAGGCTCTGTGTGAACTGCAAGGAGAGGGCAAATTGTCTCCACCTCTTCTAATGGCCTTTCAGAGGTGACCCATCTTCTACTTGGACCTGTGCCCTTCAGCCTCACACACTAAGCACTTGTGCTGGCGCATTCTGCAGCTCACGCTTCTCCCAAGGAAGAGGCATGAGCAAGGAGCAAGAGATAGCCACAGCACTTCTTCCCTCTGCACCGGCTGCTCAGTGCCTGCTGCCCTCAGTCTGCATGTGCAGGAGCAGAGTTCATTCCTCAGGTTTCTATCTTAACTGCCATGAGTTATGGACCCTTTTCTCTGTGTCTTCACTTTTATGACAGTGTCGCTACTTCTACTGTAGTTTTGATTAAAACTCTTGGCAACCCATACACTCTTCTAGCCACTGCAGGGTCTGCTCTGCTCCTGAGGCAGTGTGCTTCTGGTTAGGAAGAACCCTTGTTAGCCTGGCATGTCTATGCTGCCTGCACCTGTGAAGCATTCTCCATTTCCTAAACAGCTGTATCGATAGCATGGCATTTTCTAAACAGCTGTATCTATAGCAGGTCATCCCCTCTTTTAACTTCTCGCTGACTGACACATGTGGATTGCACATGACCTACTTCAGAATTGGTAGGCTGATGCTTTACAGAGCATTGCAAGCACACATTTTTGAATGTGTAAAAGAGTCTTACAAACTTGCAACATCTTTTGAATGCAATTTAAGTAATTTATTCTGAGTTACCATCTACTGTGGTGATACTACAGATCATCCATACATATACAGATACCAAGACAACTTAAATTTGCTAAATAAAATTTATTAATAATTTGAGTGTCAGATCCATTGTCTGGTTATCCTATTCACTTAGGGAGAACATATTCCTGTTGACCATTTTCTCATATCAAAAATGGCCGACTCATACCCATTGGGGGCACTTCATGGCCATTCGTCCATTGCTGTTACTCTCAGATCTGTTCCTCTCAAAGCTGAAGGACTCTCATTACTTTCCAAACACCAAATTATCTTTCCATCCAACATCTGGGGAGATTTCCAAAAGGTTAAAGCCATGACTGTTCCTTCTTGGCTCATTTCAGATATGGCTAGTCGTCCTGCCCATGTGGGAGGAGAGATGAGGAAAGGGCAGTGTCTGATTGAGCTAGCATCGAGGCTTAGGCAAGAAGGAAGGAAATGATGGCAAGGGGAACAATGTCAGCGGATCTGGAGAAATGGGACCCAGGCTCAGCTTCACGGGTGACTCCCATGGCTGTTATTTAACATCTTTGCGTATAAATCTCTTCTTCTATAAATGTTAATGCTGACCTCCCTGAGGCCTGGAGATGGCATACGCAGGAGGCATGGGGCCTGGAAAGAAGTGGTACTGGGGAGGAGGGCCTGCTAGGGCTCCTGCTTCAGCCTGCCTAAGCCACCAGGAGTGTCCCTGCAGTCCCCCCAAAGGTCAAGAATTCTCCCCAGTGTTAAGATTTACTGTTGCTGTTCACCTTGCAGTATGCCCTTGTTGACGCTACACTCCGACTGCCATTCTGTTCCTTCCTTTTTCTAGCTTCCCTCCATGGTTTCAGGTATGAGCCCAACCAGGAGTGGGCTGCCTAAGCTCAGGCTTGTGGCCTGTTCTGGGCTGGGTGCTGGAGGCCCAGGACTTTAGTGGTAGGGAAACACATGTGTCCAAAGGAGTCATTTTCCAGCATGTGGGTCCAATGCGCCAATGCGTGGGCCATGGTACCAGGGGAAGGATCCTCCTCCCTGGGAAGGATGTCAGGCCAGACGTCTAAATCCTAAGAAGCAGCTTCAAACCACTATGCTCGTCAGCATCTCAGATTCCTGGCCATCCATCTCTTTGCTCTCTGAGAGTGGGGCTATAAAGTAGTTTCCTGCCACCAAGAGACGTCTCAGTGGGTTTTATCTGCTTTCCACCCCTCAGGCTTCCTGAGCTCAAGGACAGAAGGGGGCAGGAGAGAAGCGTGCATTATTGGATGATGGTGATAAGAAACTGTGTGAATGTGACTTCTGACGTAGGACAGGATGAAGTTGTTTGTTTTTTTTAATCTCATATTTCATGCAGGGCTGGGCTGAGGATGTGGCAGGCATGGCGTATGCCCTACGTTCACTGCCAGAGGGGGCTCCCTGCCTGCCACAGGTGAGAGCCAGCTCTGGGGTGCCTGTCCTTTATGGGGGAAGGAGGGTGGAGAGGGCCTGTGGGGGAGGGGTGGGGAGGACTGGTCCCCATGAGGACTCCCTCAGAATCCAAAACCTCATTCCGTGAACGCAGTTTTCTCAGCTCAGAAATGAAATTGCAACAGATCCAACCCTTACGTGTCAATTATTGATTGCACCCTCTTCTCTGGGACACTACAGAAGAATGTAAAGCATGTATGCACATGTAGGCAAAGCTTTTGAATCTAAATCTTGAATCTCAATCTGCATGCTTTACTTCTCTGATACTGCCCATACATTTCAATTTGAAGCGTTAACTCTATTCCATGAAGGCCTATGAACGCCAACTCCCCAAAAAACATATTTTTATGTCTTACTTTATAAATAAGACATTGTTTTATGACCCTGAACATAATGCATTTTGATCTTTTTAAAAAAATAAGTTTACAATTTTCACTCTTGATTGTCAATGACATGTTCACCCCGCAACCCCACCCCTGCCTTTTCTCTTTACTGTTCAGCAAAGGTCTTACTCCTTTGTGTGTTTGGCAACTGATCTCTCTGCCACACCCCCTCCAAATTCAGAGCTCTTTTGCAAATTCACCATGTTCGATTCATCCCACTCTCTATTTTTTGGTGGTTCTTTTTTGAAAATCTTATTGAGAATGGCCAGCCCTGCCTGTCCCAGCTCTCCACATCTTAAAGCATTAAGCACATCCCACCAATGGCTTTCAAACTCAAGTGCTAGAAATACCATCACAAGAGAAGCGAAGTGTGGTTCATGGATTAACCCTGAAACCTTTATTTTTTTATGTTGAAGGCAAAAAAAAAAAAAAACGTTAAATCATTTAAATGCATGTCTAACTCATTCAACCTATTCTACAACTAGGTCTTGATAATGCATCCTTTGGCTCCTGTAAACAGCCGTCTGAAACCCACCCATAATATTTGCTTATAGGCTTTTCCAGCTCTGTTCCTAATGTCCTTTGCCTTCCCTCTTTTGGCAGTGGTCAGTCTATATCCGAGCCGCTGTCCGAAAAGAGAAAGGCCTGCCCATTCTTGTTGAGCTGCTCCGAATAGACAACGACCGTGTGGTGTGTGCGGTGGCCACAGCGCTCCGGAACATGGCCTTGGACGTCAGAAATAAGGAACTCATCGGTATGTTCTCTGACTCAGAGTCCCAGTTTCTCAGTGAAAATGCTTTCTTATGGGATGTGTGTGGCGAGACCCACGGGTGGTGACACATGTGTGAGCAGATGCCGTGCGTTTATTAGCAGCCTCATGTTTTCCAGGTCTCCTGCTTCAAATCCAGTGAACTGATGATCATTTACAATTTAGAGGGAAAGGTGGTTTTGTTGACCTTTTTCATCCTTGCAAATTAAAAGTGACCACATGCTGAGCACTTCATCCTGTCATCCTGAGTCCCTCAGAAGACTGTGTTTGCCTCCCTCTTGTGAGCTGAGGAATCCTGATGGGGTACACATCCCTTTGCTCCCCCTCTCTATTTTCAGTTTATTTTGGATGAGACCATACTGAATCCTTAATCCTATTTTTTTTTTCCTAAATCACCACCCCATGAGATACTGAGGACCTTTGATTGTTGATTCATTGAAGAGGCAATACACTCACATATTTATTCAGCAAACCTGGGTTTATAATCTACTTCACACCTGGCCAATTCCAGGGCTGGAGATTTATATCAATGAGTGAGACTAAGAGAAAGTATTGACCTTGTGGAGTTTGCATTCGGGAGGGGGGAGGGGTCCGATCAGCAAATGAAGCCCACAGTGTCTTAGGAAGGCTTCACGGGGAGAAATGGAGCAGGGCAAATAAGGCTGTGATTGGTAAGGTTTCGAGTTCTTTTTCAACTCACATGACATACAGTTAATCTTTCTAAAGTGTAGAGTTTTAGTGCCATTTGGTAATTCCCAGTGTTATGTAACCAAGACCTCTGACAAGATCCAGAACGTTGTCACCATCACGAAGGGCCATCCATGTGTATTCAACAGCCCTGTCCTCCCCCTCCTCCCCGCCTCGGGCAGCCACAAGCTGCTTTCTGTCCGTGGGTTGCCCTGCTCTGAACCTTTCAGGTGCTTGGAGCCAGGTCATGTTATTTCTTTCCTTTCCTTTGCTCAGTTTGGCGTAATCTCCTGTGTCTATTTTTGTTTCATTACCTAAGCTTTTGGAGTCAGATGCAGAAGAAAATCATTGCCTGGACTGATATTGTGTAGATTTTCCCATTTTCTCCTGTGAGTTCTATTGTTTCAAGTCTCCTGTGTATTTATTTAATCCATTATATTAAATAATAGATATTTAATCCATTTTCAGTTCATTTTTTTTGTAGATGATGTAATGTAAGGGTGCAGTTTCATTCTTCTGCCTGTGGATATCCAGTTTATTGGTGGGATTTTAAATGAGAGGTCAAGGTAGGAGAGGTCAGAAGGTAACTCTTGAGCCGATACTTAAGGGCAGCAGACAGCCATGCAGATATTTAGGGGGAAGAGAATACAGGGGCAGCGCCTGCAGTCAGCTCCCTGGAGTGAGAGCTGGGAGCAAGGCTTCAAGGAACCTCATGTGTCTGGTAGGGCAGGTGGCGGGAGCCCAGGTCAGAGAGGTCTCCTAGTGCCTCTCTCTTTGTAGGTGAAGAGGCCAAGCTGGGGAAGGATGAGGCTTGGGGAAGGATGACCTCACAGAAATTTGGTGGAAAACCACTGTGGTCTCCATGGACTATTGTCCTGATGGATAGGCATCTGGTATGGAGATGATTCCTGTAGGGTTGTTGGTCAGTTTAGAGAACACAGTCTGGCAGACAGAGCAGGTAACAGGTGTCAGTGGACAGCATCTGGAGACTGGGCCAGCTACTATGGCCAAAATGCAGCTTACTTGTGGCCTCTAGGGAGCTGGGAGAAATAAGATATGAGTGTACCAAGGAACAAGACTCCATTCCTGAGCAGCTGGAAGACCAGACCCTTTATCTGAGAACCAGATACTTTTTCTGCCATTTCATAATACCCATCAGATTCTTCAGTGAAAACCAAGGCATTTGCAGTTTTTTAGCCATTTATTCAAATTGAAACCAGACTTCAAATCTGTATCTAGTAAATTCAATTCATCATGCGTGCAATATGTTAAAAAGTAGGGAAAAAAAAAACAGGCATGGTGGTGCACAACTGTAATCCCAGTGGCTTGGGAGACTGAGGCCAAAAGGAACACAAGTTCAAAGATGGCCTAAGCAACTTAGCAAGACCCTGTCTCAAAATAAAAAATAAAAACTGGCTGGGGATGTGTCTCAGTGATTAAGTGCCCCTGGGCTCAATGCTGGAAAAAAAAAAGGCAGGAAATCAACTTGAAATTTGATATTTATAGTTAGTTTGAGTTTAATCTAATTTTTTTGTGATTTAAGTATATTTTGTATATTTAAACTAGGTCATTAGCTCAAAAGGTCAAAGTACCCTCTCCATATACACTTTTGTTTTCCTTGGACAAATAGCACTGGGGCTTCCAATAAAATCCTCTCTCCTCTGTAACGTGGAGGAAAAATCAATAGCTAATCAGTCTACTGCCTGGGTGCTAACTACTGGCTATTGTGTGCTTGTGTGTTTTATTTCTTTTGGTGGATTAAAATATAACAAAATAGTGAACTATTGATTGGGTTTCTAGCTCGTAGGCATCTCTTCTTTCTCAAAAGCCAGTTATCTAGTTCTCTCTCTGAGGCAGGAACATTTGGAGCTCCATATTGCTCATGTTAAATTAAGCTTTTACTATCAAATGTCACCAGACAGGAAATGGAGCCAGTCATTTAGAAGCAGAAGTGAAAATATCTAAAGTCATGGGCTTTACAGAATCAATAACTTTTTTCCTTGAATGAGAAGAGCTGAATTTTAAAAAACATTAGATTCCCTTAGAAGAAAGAAAATGTGACTTTTGCTAACTCTTCTACTTTAAATATTGCCATCAGAGTAGGTGTTTTGTAGGGAAATGATATGAATAACTTTATGCATTGAAACCTGCAGTTACTTTGAACCTAGACCAACAAGAAAAGGAAGAGTGAATGTGAGGTTCTTCTCCCGTCGCTCTCACTGAAAGATGTGGTGACCTCGTCTGATTTCATTTCTTTAAAGCTCATCTGTATGATGACGACTCCCAATGCTGTCTGAGGTCTCATGGCCAGCATTCTGCCCACTTGTTCACTCACTGGATGTCTAATAAGCATCTCCAGTATAACATGTCCACAACTGAGTTATCCACAGACCTGACCCTTCCCAAATCTCCCCATTATAGCAAAGGGCATGTTGCCCTTGATGTGTGCCCAGGAAAAGACACCTTGGGGTCTTCTTCAACTCATATCCACCCCACTTTCATATCAAATCCATCAACAAATGTGGTCATTCTCTTGGATTTTCCCAGAATCTAACACTCGTTAGCATCTTCGTGGCGTTCTCCCTGGTCCAGGTCTCCCACTGTCTCTCCCAGGTTTTTACCGTGGCCTCCTACCAAGTCCCTTGCAGACCCATTATTCCTGTGTGGTTATTTGTACAGCAGCACAGTGGTGCTGTTAAAACCTGAATCATCATGCAATTTCTTCACCCCAAACCCTCCTCACCACCGTCCAAACTAGGTCTTTGTAAGGCAGATGTGACTCTATCAGACCCAGCTCCCTGTCACCTCCCAAGACACCACATGTGGCCTCTCCACATCAGTGCCTTTGCTGTGGACATCAGTCTCTGATTTTCCTTTATCACAGGAGCCAAGACCCTCCCTTGGGGCCATTGAACTTGCTGCTCCATCTTCCAGGAGTCCTCTTCCCTCAATTCACTCCATTTCTTACCCAAATACTATATTCCCAAGAGACGTCTCACTGCCCACCATAAGAAGCATCCCACCCTATCTCCTTCCCTGCGTAAGTCTTCTCCACAGCACAACACTGATCACTTTCTGATAGACGCCCCAACTTAAGGTGCTTCCACTTACCTTTACAGTTGTGTGAAAGCAATAACTCATTCAGTAGAACCTGTACTTACAATTTGAATCTTGATCTTTTCCCAGGCTAGTGATATGAAATCTGATCCTCTATCTTGATACAGTGACAGCAAGCTCCAGGTCAGCTAAGGGACCGCAGCAGGTGGAAGCAGTCTGTATCTATAGTGTGCCGTGTTGCTGAGCTGTGCTGTTCAGTAGGTTAGGTGCATTAAGTGTATCTTTGACTGACAGTGTTTTCAACTTACGATAGTTTATTGTGACTATAACCCCATTGTAAGTCGAGGAATGTTGTACCTAATTCTCATCCTTCTTCTCTCACTGCAGTGTGAACCCATGGACGGCCAGAAGCACTGCCTTGTTTATTTACTGATGGGTCCCCTGTGCCTAGAACAGTGTGGTTCCATGTAGGGACTTAATAAATATTTGCCAAATGAAAGATGGAACTAGATTTTTCTTTTCTACCCATCATCTTCAAACAAACTCCAAGTCAGCCAAATAATAAAAAAGAAAATTAACTAAAAGAATAACTAGGGAAAAGGGGTTTATGTTAATAAAAATAAAAACAGGTTATTTCCTTCTTAAAATATGAGACGCTTGGAGACACTCAGAATTTCAGAAGGAATCCAGTTTTTCTATCATTGTTTCTGGGGTTTACAACTGTCCATAGATTATTTTGTAAGTAAGGGGTTGGGGTGGGCTGGCTGTCACATTGTGGTCACAGAAAATCTTCCTTGGGCTCCACTATCTGAATAGCTCCTAAGAAGCTATTGAACGATAATCACTCTGCCCTGTTAGGTCTAATGAGAAGCCTACAGCAGCACCAACAGGAATGTGACTTGCTCTACCTCTCCATTATCTTCCTCCTGGGGCTGTTCCCATGGTGCTGTGTATGTCTCTGTGATAAGTGGTAAGTATGCTGTAGAGAGACCCATGTGCTCCGAATGATGTAGCACAGTAGCTGAGGTTAATGTACATCTGCACATTTCTTTGCAAACTTCAAAAATGTTAATTATCCTTCTGAGTAGGGAAGACTTTTTAAAAGAATGGCAATAACTAGCTTTGGTGAGAAGGCAAAAAGGCTGTACAATACTGTGTCACTTCAACAAGTTTAGCAAGTGCCACCTGTTTCAGCACTTGGACAGTTCCTGATCAAAACTGCAGGCCCAATCCCCACCCTC